CTCAGGTCCCTTCCGACCCTAGAAACTATGACACTATAAACACCCCTGTGACCTAGGACAGTGCCACGCCTATTTTACAACTGAAGCCCATGGAAAAACTGACTTGCCTGTGATGACACAAAACAGGCTGCATCACTAAAGGTTAAAACTCAGTCTACAATCCCAAAAGAGTTCTGCATGACACCAGGAGATTAGTGCCAGCAATGCATGCATTTTGCTTTGTCTATCTACACATTTGAGGTCAACATCTGGTTAAACACATCTGCAGGATATTTCCACTAAAAAGAATGAATAGCAAACTCAGTCTGAGCTTTTAAATTGTTTTAAGGTGATGTTGGGGGAAAGGGGTGCAGTTTACATCTCGGAGCTGCTGTTTAAGGAGACCCAGAAAGACTGTGCACAGGAGCTTGAAACTTTAAGCAAGCAAAGGATCGCTCGAAGCTCCAGATCATGGAGAGAGCAGCTATCTTACTATGCATTTGTAGAGCAACCGGCACAACTGGATATAAAGCCGCTGTGCCACTTACATTCTTGCAACACCTGTGCGCGAAAGGAAGAGCTTTCCAGCCCTGATCACAGACATACCTATCAGTTACTTACTCACCATAACATAGTAATGCCTGAACAGCTTCAACTTCGCTAGATTAATGGCAGCTGTAGAGAGAACACAAAAAGGCCATTAAGAAAAACATTAACACAAGTGACCCGATGGAACAGGCCTTACAGGCCTTTTCTATGCATGGACACATACTGCTATAGCTTACAGCATGGTAGCTGTATCAGTATAAGTCTGGTGTGGACACCTGAACTAAGGATGCCTCTCTGTAGTGTATGTCTTTTTGCACAATGATACATTTCCCTCAAAATGCAAGGAAATGTTTGCAAAACAAGCCCTGAAGAAGCTACCCATCAGAGCTAAAGATTTTTCTGTCCTCTTCTATGGATGGTGTGGATAGGTTTTAAAATTGAGCTATTATTATTGAGATGATGCTCAAGGGCAACCAGTGCTGTTTCATTAGGGGCAGGTCAGGTCACACCAACCTGATTGCCTTTTATGATCAGGTCACAAAGGCAATGGATGCAGGTATTGCTGTGGATGTAGTCTTTCTGGACTTCAGCAAGGCTTTTGACACCGTCTCCCACCCCATCCTCATTAAAAAATTGGGCGACTGTGGCACTGATGCCTACACAGTCAGATGGATTGCAGATTGGTTGAAGGGTCGCACTCAGAGGGTGGTGGTGGACAGGTCATATTTGACCTGGGGAGAAGCGGGCAGCGGAGTCCCCCAGGGCTTGGTCCCTGGCCCCATGCTGTTCAATTTCTTTATCAGTGATTTGGACGACGGGGTGAAAAGCACCCTGTTTAAATTCGCTGATGATACCAAAATTTGGGGTGAGGTGAGCACGCTAGTAGAAAGGGAAAGACTACAGCAAGATCTGGATAGGTTACAGGGGTGAGCTAACAAAAACAGGATGCGCTTCAGTACTGACAAGTGCAGGGTGCTGCACTTGGGCAGCAGTAACCAGCAGCACACTTATAAGATGGGAAACTCCCTTCTTGAGAGCATGGAGGCAGAAAGGGATCTTGGAGTCATTACTGACTCCAAGATGAACGTGGGC